GGGGGGGGGGGGGGGGGGGGGGGGGGGGGGGGGGGGGGGTAGGAATGAAGCCATGAGAAGGAACAGGGCCGATAGGAAGTGGGGGGGGGCATTGGTTCCTTTTGGGGGGTGATTTTTGTGTCGCTTTGCCCAAGGAGCGGACTTTGGTCCACCAACAAGCCGCATCTGCCGTTGCAGCGGGTATGTTTACCGGCGACGGGTTTCAGTTTTTTTTTTTGTGCCGACAAGAGAGGGCGCGTTGGGCGGGGGAGGGTGGGGGGTCGAGTGCGAGAGAGGGAGAGAGAGGGAGAGAGATCCCGCCGCAGAGTGGGATGTCGGGGAAAATGCGAACAAGCGATCCCGTGCGTGCTGTCTCGCACGGGCCCGTTTGGTGTCGAAATGGTTCGGCGCGGCGGTGGGGAGGATAGAGGCGCTCTCAGGCGAGTGTCGCACCGCCCCCTCCCCTCCCTTGTGTAGCAGGAGGGGAGTTGTCTACCCTGCGTTTGGGTGTGAGAGGGGAGCTTAGCGGGTAATGTACTCATGTGTTGAGAGTCAAAAGGGTACGTGGTTTTTGGCGTGCGGGGAAGGGGAGAGGGAGGGGCGCAAACGGTGTGGAGGGCAGGCCTTGGAACGCGGCTGAAGACGGGAGGCCCAGGCCCTTCACGTTGGTTTGTTAGCTTGTAGTCGGTGTTGTTGTCGTTGTTGTCGTTGTCATTTTATCATTCTTTGGTTGTCCTCGTTGTCGTTGAATAGACAGAAGGTCTTGGGTTGCAGGCCACCCCCCCCCCCCCCCCCCTCCCCCCCCCCCCCCNCCCCCCCCCCCCCCCCCCCGTTGTGTTATTTTGTCGTGTTGAGAGATGGGAATCTCGCCACCCTTTCGATGACACTCTGTTGCTCGGATTCATCCATCTGTCCAACAAGCGCCCTCCAGTTTTGGTCGGTGGTTGGTGTTTAGAGCCAGCACAATTGGCCTGTCTTGTATGCATACCATGTATATTTGCCAGCATGCCGGTGTCTCTTGCGCGTTGTGTTTGGGCTCTTTCTTTGTGCCTCAAACCTCCGTGGCCGTTTCAGGAGCGGTAAGTTTTGTTTTCTGCGTACAAGTTCTTCTATTTTTTTTCCTTTGGCGGATTGAATCGTGCAGCACGCCAAAGTTTGGGGGCCCGGTTGTTTGTCGCTGTTGTTGTTGCTGTTGTCGTTATTGATGTTGGTGCTGTCGTCGTCGTTGCTGCCGCGAAAGTTTGTTTGTTGTTAGTATCATTGTTTCCAAATTTACAAACTCGTGACGATATGGCGTTCTTGTGTCTTTGGTAGTACAGGCATCTTGTGTACAATGCAGGCGGCAAGGATCCGTTCACCTAAATTTCCTTTGTTGGGTATGTATTCACGTACGTGCGTGCGTGCGTGTGTGCGTGCGTCGTAAGACAGGCGAGTGGCTGTTATTGGCGAGTTCTCGGGAGCAACCTAGGCGGCCACGCGCTAGCGAGTGTTGGACGGAGTAAGAGCTTGTTAGCTGAAAGGATGAAGGAGGATGATGTAGGTTTTGTTGTAATCGTGTTATGATAGCACCGCGAAATGTGCAGAAGAAGGAATTTGAAGACGGGAGAGCAAAAAAAAGTAGTAGTAGTAGTAGTAGTAGTAGAAGTAGTAGTAGTAGAAGAGAGTGTATGTTTCACCCTTGTTCTCGTTATTTTTCCAGACGGTGGTGGTGGTTGGTTCCGTGGTTGGTATACTACAATATCTTGATCTAGTTTGCCTGTTCGTAGGCGTTCTTGTTGGAGTATGGTTGCGAGAAAGTGCCCCCTTCGCCCCCCCCTGTCGTGTTTTAAGACCCCTGTCGTGTTCAAGACGTTGGTAGGTAGACCAGGTTGGCTATGTTAAGAGGCGCGGCACGGCGAAACCGAGCGGAGTTCGGGCACACGCGCACCATTTCGCGGGCACGTGTGTTGAGGCTTGTGCTACCAGCAGTTCTGTGAGAACATTGTGAGGTTCGAACGTGAAGGGTTGCACAGCGTATTGTCCATGTAGGAGGAGAAACCTGGTTGTTCGGAGTCTTGCGGGGGGGGG